CCTGCCAGGTCATGGAGACCAAAAGTGGACTTCACCCTGGCTACTGCCTTCCCAGGGCGAGTGGTGGTCTCACCGAGGTGGCCATGGATGGGAGCAGGATGGGGATGGAGGTCTCAGCATAGTGGTGCTGCTGCCGGGGAGGTCAGCACAAAACCCTATTACCATCTCCCACCACCCCACAGGGTCTGAGAACGAGGTGACCCAGGTGAACCGGTGTCTGGATGCCGCCAAAGCCTGCAACGTGGACGAGATGTGCCAGCGACTGCGGACGGAGTACGTCTCCTTCTGCATCCGGCGCCTGGCCCGGGCCGACACCTGCAACCGCTCCAAGTGCCACAAGGCTCTGCGCAAATTCTTCGACCGCGTGCCCCCCGAGTACACCCACGAGCTGCTCTTCTGTCCCTGCGATGACACAGCCTGTGCCGAACGCCGGCGGCAGACCATCGTTCCTGCCTGCTCCTATGAGTCCAAGGAGAAGCCCAACTGCCTGGCACCTCTGGACTCCTGCCGGGAAAACTACGTCTGCAGGTAATGTTTGCACACTGGGGTGGTCGACATGGAGAGCTGTCCCTTGGACAAGCCTAGGGTTCATCCACTGGTGACAGCCCAGTGACCAGAGCCAATGTATCCGCCTGAAGGATCCTGTCTGGAGGCACCCATCCCACCACAACCCACCGGCTTAGGCTGTTGCCTGAGTGACTCCTTCCCACGACCCACGTCCTTGTCTCATATCCTCTGCAGAAGGTGTTAACAGACAGCAGAAGATTTGCGATGTTTGTACTGGAGATTTTTTAGACCTTTCCTATGGGTTTTTACCTTCGGTCCTAAAGGAAGACCTGCTATGGAAAGAGGTCCAGGAAGGTGCAAGCTAAGTAGGGATGTGGTGTGGGGTGTTTGCACCCACTTTCACCAATCTGTCTCCTCACTGTCTGTATCCCCTACCCTGGGCCATCCTACAGGAGCACCCAAGCTATCCTAACAGTCACAGGCACTTGTAGATACCTTAAAACTATGGCTTTCTTAATTTTTATGAGAAAAAACTAATCATATGTATAAAAAATATGCCCTGCTGCTGCAGGGCTGGGCGTTCTAGTGATTGACAGGACAAGGGGTAATTGTTTTAAACTAAAAGAAGGTAGATTTAGACTAGACATAAGGAAAAAATTGTTTACAATGAGGGTGGTGAAGCACTGGCACAGGTTGCCCAGAGAGGTGGTGGAAGCCCCATCCCTGGAGGCATTCAAGGTCAGGCTGGATGGGGCTCTGAGCAACCTTATCTAGTTGGAGATGTCCCTGCTCACCGCAGGGGGTTGGACTGGATGGCTGCTAAAGGTCCCCTCCAGCCCAAACGATTCTATGATTCTATGATTCTACGATTGCAATAGGAGTCTCAGAGTCACAGGTGTCACTCCAGATCCACCACACAGTATGTGGCCAGGGTGGTTTGCTCCCGTTTCCATTTAAGCCCCGTGCACGCACACGTGCGCAGACCCATCCCAACGTGCGCACTCACAGGCATACCTCTTAAGTGTTTTTCCCTCAACTGTACTATTTTCACCTCTCTATTTCTCAAAAAGTCTTTGATATTCCAGAAGGTTAATCCACACATGGCTCTCAGGAGTGGAGCCCATCTGTCAGTAAGAGATGTAAGACCATAACAGCATCTGTACTGCACCAAACGTGGTGGTCCCAGCCCAGCGCTCTGTGTGCAGCTGTGGCCATGAGCAGATACCTGAAGAAGAGCACAAAAGCAAGTGTAGGACACATCTCTCAATATTGTCCCAGTCTCTAATTATTGTGGGCTTTGGGACTTCCCGAGCTGAGATTCCAGCAACCACTACCAGCAAGTCATCTTTAAATTACAATTAAAAAATCACGTTTTTTCACCAAGGGAGGTGAAAGCAGCAGCATTCTCTTGGAAGGATGGACTGGTACCAATACCCTCACCCCTCTGCACCCCAGAAACATTGATGGAGGAGAATAACGGAGCCATACGTCTGAAGCTGACTCTGAAAGATGCAAAGACCCTGAGCCACACCAGCTCTTGCTCAGATTTCCCCTGGCTACCCAGGGAATCTGGAACAGAGGGGTACTACCCTCTCCCTAACAAGATAAGTGGGCTCAGCGGGGAAGAAGAGGTTCAAAGGGGAGAGAGTTGCTTCCCAGGAGGCTGGAAACCATTTCCTGCAAGTGGCACAGTTGTTAATTATCTGGTTCCTTGGTCTCTGAATATATAATATAAAACATCCTCTAGAGACACGGCGGGAGCAAGGGGTTGACGTGTGACCCGGTCAAAGCTAGCAGTGCAGAAACCACAAGGAGAGCCAGTAACGGATCGTGGAGCTTTAAAGAAATAGAGTAAAATACTCCAGGGCTAACCCCGCCTGCACTGCTTAGTCCTCCTGCAGCTTCTTCACAGCTGTAACCCCTTGAATTTCCCAGCTTGGAGGGGTGGGATCTACTAACATGAATAATACAAAAACCGCAATCAGTATCTCCCTCTCCTAAATAACGCAGCGGAAATTTGGGCAAGAAGAGTTTGCCTGGCCGTGGCACAGGAGAAAGGGGTTGGTATGGGGCAAACATGGGAATGAAGAAGAGACAAAAAGGAGAAGGCTGGGGATGTGGAGAGAAATGGGCAGGAAAGAACAAGCCAGAGCTCTGACACTGACCAGGAGCACCGACCAAATGTCTGGAAGTGAGGGGCTGTCTGGGAGGAGCAACGTGCTCAGTTTTTCTGAGATTGCCCAGGCAGAGCAAACGTTTGAGGTTCAGAGTTCAAACACTGCAGGTTGTCATCTAAAGGGCCCTGCCTTCAAGTGTCGACGGTGCTAGTGCTTGTTTGAGTTTCCTAAGCAGCTCAAATGCTGTGTGAGATGCCTTCTTACCCAGCCACAGAAAGCCTGTCTAGATGGATCTGAATCTCCAGTGTGTCCTACCTGAAAGCCCCACGTGGATGTCTTAGACAGCCTGCAATGTCCAAACACCACTAGATGCCTACGTGCCAACAATTGATTCATCCCTAAAGAATTAAGTGGCAAATATGTGGTTGGCAGCATGATTTACAGAGTTTATCCAACCAAGCTAGCAGGGACTCCACATGCAAAGAGCGATCTGGCAATCTGTCTGAACGATGCGCCAACTTCCCCACGTGGCCCAACAAGCCCAGTGTGTGATTCAAAGCTGCTTTGTGCTAAGTGGTTTGGTGCTTTGACCTAGACGATGTGAAAACCGAGGCGTGGCGGTCTGTGGTCAGAGCTGTATGCCATACACCTCTTGCTCCACAGGCTCCAGAGCCCAATCTTCTCCTGAGAATGGGTACCTGCAGCAGAGGATGTGGCAGCAGCCTTGGCGATGGTTAGAGCACTTCATATTTGAGCCTTTGGGCATTTCCCTTGATCCCTTAAAAGTTGACCCTGTCTACGTTTAGGGCATAATCTTTGAAGAGAGAGAAACTGGACCAGAGTGATTCTCTCTTCCAGCAAATCATCCCCAAAATGAAGGCTCAGGTCTCTAGGAGAAGTTATTACCCAAGAGTCAGATAATGGCAATACAGAATTAATTCTCCTGCTGCCTGCAATAGCTCTTCCCTTGAAAACCAGCTTCACACACCAAAACCCAAATATTTCTTCCAAGACTGGATCTTTCTTGCAGTCCCAGAGGAAGCCTGTAAAACATTAACTACAGCACCTATTCGTGTTTCATCTCAAAGGGATAAACCTACTTCTGGGTTTGTCGGGGTAGGGGGACGGGAGAGTATAAAATGACATTCGTTCAAACTGGTTTAGCAACACCTACAGCTGGAAAGGATTTTGCAAATGCATTCCCTTCTGTAAACACCACCAGCGTGCTATCATGTCCTATTTTTGCCCTGAATATCTGTGCTAATACATTCCATTTTGCCCTCTCGTTCCATCAGGTCACGCTACGCAGAGTTCCAGTTTAATTGCCAGCCATCCCTGCAGGCTGCCAGCGGCTGCCGGAGGGACAGCTACGCTGCCTGTCTGCTGGCGTACACGGGCATCATAGGTAAGGGGCTCTGTCCTTCGGGTGGTCTCTCTCCCAGTCTCCAGGTGGGAAAAGCCTCCTCAAGGTGGGAAACATCTCCTCTTACTCTGGCCAGCTAAAAGCTGTGAGGACAGTAAGGTGGTGAGCTGAGACATCTCAGGGAGATGCTGGGCTTTCTCTCTGCAGCGACCGTAGAAGAAGCCTAAGCCAGCAGTGTGCCCAG